ATTATGCATATAGGAATAAATAGGCATTTACATGCCCATGAATAAGTATGTCTTTTAGGTCTATCTTCCACATATAAGCAAAAGCATATGATGTATTTTTTAGTTTGTCTTGTTCAATATGATGTCCTGCAAATCCATCCATTTTCCTACACATGACATGATTTCATTTTTCATTATGGCTAACTAATGGACTTGGGGCTTCAAGTTCTCACTCAACTTTTTCATTCATGATTGGCATTCTACTACTTGAGCCATGCCTCCACTTCTGGCGTTTTGCTGGTTAAGTGGCGATAAGAATCTTAAGGACTTTTCTACCTGGGCTGGCTTTGAACCGTGAGCCTTAGATCTCAGCCTTCTGAAGAACTAGAGTTACAGACATGAGCTACTGGTGCCTGGCTTCATGTATTCTTATGTTGCCTAAAATGACTGTTTCACTATCTTTTTGTAAGTTTATGTGTTATTCACATTTGTATTTCTAACACTTGAAACTTGGTAGTAGTTCTTCTGAACAGAATAGGACTGCATTTCAAGTTTGCCTCATTTGAATGAACAAAAGGGCTCCAACTTTTGGTTATCATATAAAAAGGTCAAAATATTTAGAAAAAATGCTCCAAGTTAAAACAAAAGAAATTTAAAAAATATATTCACTAGAAAACAAAATAGTTAATCTGTTCTAAAGATTCTCTGTAAATTGCTTTCTCTCAGTTTACCTATATAGTGAATAGACTAATTTTAATGAAAAATAGAAGTCCAAACGAATTATAGTACAGTTTCTCAGAAGCAGAGACTTTCAGGAGCACTAGGAAAAAGACCGGCCTTCAAACACTGAAAGGAAAAGTAAGCCATAGGAGAGGTTATGCTGAAAGGGAGGAGGAAGAAGGAATGTCAAATTGTTCTAAAATACGAGCAGAAATAAAGGGAGGAAATAAAAGCAACAACTAATTCTCTAGCCATTATAAAATTCTAGTGTACCAGATTTCTGTTGTAGTAAACACACTCACATTTTTCTCAACCCAAATGTAGATTTTTTTTTTTTTTTGGTTGGTTGTGGGGCCTGAAATCTGGGTCTGGGCGTTGTCCCTCAGCTCTTCAGCTCTAGGCTAGCACTCCACCACTTGAGCCACAGTACTACTTCTGGCTTTTTTCTGCTTATGTAGTGCTGAAGAATTGAACCCAAGGCCTCATGTATGCAAGGCAAGCACTCTACCACTGAGCCACGTTTCCAGCCCCCCAAATGTAGAATTTTTGTTTTTTTTTTGGGGGGGGGGTCCTGTCATGGGGCCTGAACTCTGGGCCTGGGCGCTATCCCTCAGCTCTTCAGCTCAAGGCTAGTGCGCTACCACTTGAGCCATAGCACCACTTCCAGCTTTTTTTTTTTTCTTCTGGTGCTGAGGAATCGAACCCAGGGCCTCATGCATGTAAGGCAAGTGCTCTACCACTGAGCCACCTTCCCAGTCCCTAAATGTAGATTTTTAAAGAACTTTTTATCATTTATCAAATAAAAATCATAACAAAATACCTTTTTGAAAATATTGCTATACCATTTTTTTCTGGCTGTAATCTTGGTACTATAAAAAGTTTATGTAGATTCTATCAGAATTATGTACAAACTGTCAATTAGGGTCCATATTAAAGAGTAAGGCACAAGTCAGTATTGAAGTAACTTCTAAATCATCATAGAAACACAAAAAGTATTTGTTGTAATTTGTGCATTTTGTGTTTTCTATTAGAGATTTGTAGAAATTGGAGACTATAAATCCTATGACAATCATTTAAATCATGGCATCCAATTAATTGGCATTTCTTCCCCTTGTGCACTCTAAGCTAAAGCTTAAGTATGCTAGACAAGACAGTATGGATGCTAGACAGATAATAAACATGAAAATGTCTGGGGAAATTAGGGGATAGTAGTGCTGTCAATTCACTGTCTCTAGGCAAAAGGGAAAAGAAAAAATGTTTTCAGAGGTGTACTTCATTGAGACTCATTGAAACATATTTTAGTTTTACTGGAACTTGGTGGGGGGAGCAGTAGTTGTGCTTGAACTTAGGGCTTTGCACTTATAAGGCAGGAGCTCTACCACTTAGGCCACATCTCTGTCCTTTTTATTCATGTGTGCTCTACCACTTGAATCATATTTCCAGCAATTTTTGTTCTGGTCATGCTTTTTGACCAAGCTGGACTGGACCATGAGCCTCTTATTTATGCTGTATGCTCTAGCTCAGCCAACAGTTGCACATAACTATATCCAGTTTTGTTTTCTGTTTAGATGGGGTGTAATTAATTCTTTTGCACGGGCTGGCTTGCAATTGTGATCCTCCTAATCTTAGCCTCTTGTTGTGAATGAATGAATGGAATGTACCCTAGTGTCTAGCTATTGGTTGAGATAGGGGTTTCATGAACTTTTTGCCTGAGCTGCCCTCAAATCTCAATCTTCTTGATCTCTGTCTCCTGAGTAGCTAGGATTATAGGCATGAGTCACTGGAACCTGATGGCTAGCCTCTTTACTCTTTTTCAGTTTTTAGAACTGAATAAAATCATTTAAAGTATGATATGTGGTTTGAGTGTTATAGAGATTAGTAATTAAGACTGGAATGGAATAAAAAACCTGTGGCTGCTGTGGTGATGACTACCAAGTGAAACCAGAAGCACATGGCCAAATAAAGGTGACGAAACGGATGGAGGCTGTACATCTATTCAATACATCCTAACATTGAGGGATGACACAAATTATTTGGTGTATAGTCATGCCAATGCTTAATCACTACAATTCTGTAAATACATAAAATCACTGACATACACTTACGATGGGTAAATTTTCTTGTATCTCAATAAATCTGTTAATAAATATTTTGAATGGGTAGATAGTAGAAAAGAATCTTTACATGCACAATAAAGTGAGAGTCTTGAAGAATGTTGTTCTGTTAAGACTGGTCCCTAACTAATGCTTAGGAAGTAGGACCCATTTCAACTTACAAAACAGCTTCAAAATGTCAAGTGTATGTGGGAGATCTTTGTAATTTGGAGTCTTTATTTCAGGGTGCTTGGATTTAAGATAAACAGGGCATTTACTTTTGCTACTAGGGTAAAATAAATAACGATGGGTAGCAAATGAAAATGTATGAGCTCCCCTGAGATCATTTTGAGCATCAATATCTAACTGATATGCTTCAAAAAAAGTAAGTTAAGGAGGGATTTACACATTTTGATAGATTCCAGGAAACTCTAAAAAACCTAGGTTACAAAGAACTGCAATAAGATGACTCTAAGATACATAGGTCATGTAGGGAGAAGGCATTAAATGCTGGCTTGTGATGAAGAAGCTTAAAGCCTTCATAATTTCCCATTGCTGTTTCTGGGAAGGAATAACACAAATTTTAGTTCAATTTCATTCTATTGGCTTTCTCTTACTCTACAATTTTTTTTCTTCTAGTAAAGTAACATTAAAATAAGAACTCTTGCTTTAAGCATTTAATTAGCACTTAATTTAACAATCTGTTAACAAACAGGACCTAAGGAAACAAGTGTAAGACAAAGGTTATGCATTAACTTTGAAATGGTCCTCTACTGTCCATATGTGAATAATGAATACAGAAGATATTAGAAAGTATGTTTATTGAAGGTAAGGACTATTTATTATTCATCTATGACTTCGTGTCAGACATCATGTGAGAAAATAGTATGAATAGTATGATTCCTTTCACTTTTAGAAAAAATAGATAATTTTTATCTGTATATTTGGGAAATAACATATGACTCCTGTTTAAATCATATATTCCCACTATCCTAAGGAAGAAAATGGGGTAGAGATAGAAAAGGAAGCTTTTATTTCACATTTTATAGCTTTTCACAATATAGAATTTTCTAATTATGTATACATATTATTTTATCCAAGAAAATGTCCATCTGGTGAGTAGTATGATGGACTAGTTACATTTTTAAGTTATTTCCTATATTAGAGAGAGTATTGAAGTCTAGGAGCCGTGTCAGTATTGTTGCTGTCACGATGCTCACTGAAAAAGTAACTTTACATGTTGAAATGTTCAATAAACTAAAGTTGTACTAAAGATTATTTATTATAGTACTTAAAAAGTAGTAAGTAGCTGAGTCCATTTCCTAAGGCACTGTTGAGTAAGTCTCAAGACTTAGCGACTTATACTAGGTGGAAAATATGAGGGTGGCTCATCTGCAATTTGCAGCCAGGCTAATGCATGTACTACTTGAATTAAGAAAACCAACCAAGAACTAGAAATAATTTTCCATAAGAGGCAAATCCAGAAAATATCCAAGAATCAGTGTGGTCTACCTTACTTAACCCCTTTGTATCAATTTTCAATGCAGTGACTCTTCCAAATCTATCCCCTCCTTTGCAATGCTCTGTGAGCACAATGTTTGGTATTGTCAAAATAACATACTTCAGGGACTCTTCAGTAGGAAGTGGTTTTTCTTCTATCCCTGAAGTTTCAATGGTACACCAAGTGATGGTTTTCCTGATAGTACTCTAGAAGATCCAGTAGCATCATAAACAGGTACCCAGTAAGTGTTGCTAGCACTCATGCCTGCCAATCTTGGTTTGTAGCACCTCAGAAAACAATGTTGTCAGTGGCCACTTCAACAGGACATGAATTGACCTACATTGGAGGAGGAATCCTCTTCCCAGTTTCCTTTTTTGAGTATTCTGCCTAAGCCCTAGAGGAAGCAGCTGCTTCCTCTGTTCACCTTTTATTGTTTTAGAAGTCTCATGAATTTTAGTCTTAAACAGTAGGGAGAAACAAATGTAAAAAAAAAAAAAATCAATGTATTACAGAATCTCAGGTGTTATGAAGAAAATAAAGCAAGTTGAATGGGGGGCATGCTGTAGTAATGATTTAAGGTTTCATATTAAATTTTCTACATATAGCATGTAATAAATGTTATGACAAATATAACCATAGGTACATCTTCAGTACACTAAGGACAAGATTAATGTACTTCCATTAATCTTATACAGAGATCAACTTACCCTATAGAAAGCACTGGTTAGAGGGAGTAATGCTGCAGCAATGTTATATTCTTCTAAACTTGAACAATCCTTAAACAAAAACAGATAAACATTATTAGGATATTTAATAGAAATCACAAATATATGGAGCCCTAAATCTAGGATACATTGTCTACTGTCCTGTGAAGCTGTTATTCTAAATTGTCACTAAGACACAGGTTAAGGATGGTAACAACTATAAACTCTGAAGCACTTCCTTTCAGAAATGAAGTAAAAACACCTTTAGGAAGGGTATCATTTTTATACACTATTGGTAAGCAGCTACTTTTTACCTGTTTCTTTTACAAAGGTTGTTAATATTAGAAGTTGCATAATTTATAAAAAAAATTCTAGAGGTTTTAATTGATTTACCTATTGTCTAAGTTTGTTTTTTTTTCATTTAGTATGTATGTAAGATTGGGATGCCTTTTGTTTTATTTTTTATTTTTATTTTTTTGGGTCTGGTCGTGGGCTTGAACTCTAGGCCTGGGCGCTGGCCCTCAGCTCTTAAGCTTAAGGCTAGCGCTCGACCACTTGAGCCACAGTGCCACTTCCTTCTTTTTTTTTTCTGCTTATGTGGTGCTGAGGAATCGAACCCAGGGCCTCATGCATGCAAGGCAAGCGCTCTACCACTGAGCCACCTTCCCAGCCCTGGGCTGCCTTTTTTTTTTTTGGGGGGGGGGGGGTCTGGTTGTGGGGCTTGAACTCTGGGCCTGGGCGCTGTCCCTCAGCTCTTCACCTCAAGGCCAGCACTCTACCACTTGAGCCACAGCACTACTTCCAGCTTTTTTCTTTTTGCTTATGTGGTGCTGAGGAATCAAACCCAAGGCCTCATGCATGCAAAGCAAGCGCTCTATCATTGAGCCACCTTCCCAGCCCTGGGATGCCTTTTATAAGTAGTTGGGAGTATTTTTTCATAGTGTTACATAAATAGGCTATTAATCAGGGAAGAAATATCACTAACATTGAAGCTCACTGTGTGAAATGTTGTTAGGAAACAGCACAAAAATCTCAATTGGAATAATAAGTTGTGTAACTGCTGTGGAAAATAGTATGAGTCCTTGAAAAAAAGAAAAGAAAAAACTCAGAATTATATAAAATTGGAAAACAGGTAATTACTCACGCCTGTAATTCTAGCTACTCAGAAGGCTGAGATCTGAGGATTGCGGTTCAAAGCCAGCCCGAGCAGGACCACCAGAAAACTGGAAGTGGTGCTGTGGCTCAAGTGGTAGAGTGCTAGCCTTAGAGCTGAAGAGCTCAGGGACAGTGCCTAGGCACAGAGTTCAAGCCCCAAACAAATAAACAGGATATACAGAGAAAAAAGGAGTTATGTGCTCCAGTATTTCTAACTTATTGCCATAATCCCCCCAAAATAAAGACAAAAACTAAAAGCAAAAAGCTATGTATTTGTATACTCACATAACTCGTGTGTGCATATGGAAATAAACATAATAAAACAAACACAATGAACATTAATTAGCTTTAAAAAAGGAAGGAATTTCTGACACATGCTATAAAATGGAGGAATCTTGAAGACATTACGTTTAGGTGAGTATATGCACAGTTTTATTAACCAGTCCTTCATTTGGCAATGCGACATAAAGTGAGTCATAGGTGGGACTGGCACAGTGCCTAAGGGCAACAAAAGGTGCAACTGACCTCCTTCCTAGATGGTCAGGCACCATGAATAAAAACCCAACTTTAAACACTGTACTTTATTTCTATCAAAATGCAAATTCCTGACCAATCAGTTATTCACACCTTCGTTTACCATTATTCATGTTTGTGTGAACTGATTTTAAACTCACAGAACTTGAACCTTAGATATAAATTACTCTAGTGTAATTTCTCCACTTTCTAGGTGAGAGAAAAAAAAACATAGAAATTTACCAGAGCATGACTAGAATCTATCAGTGCATGATTTTTCATGACACTTTTTATTCTCGTTTCATTCCATTCCTAGGGTAGAAATATGAGTTTTCTGAGCTTCCATGAATAATTTTGTAGTATGAGGAAAGCTAAGGTGACCTCAATAGGAGAGCAGTAGGAGGTTTAGAGCAGTATAAGTGTGTGGATATCAAGGACAAAGGCTTAGAAGAAAAGACAGAGTCAGAATGCAAAGTAGAAATATACCATTGACAGCTTTGGTTCGTTTCAAAACACTATTGGTACTTAGTAGGTCCAGCATGGAGTACCAGGATGATTACTGCCCTGGGAAAGAAAGGAAAAGGCTTTCTTTCACAAGTCATGGCCTGGGAGACCACCTACTCTAAATTTAGGCAGTCTTGTCTAGCATAAATATACTAGGTACCATAATCTGGTAATAATTTCAAGCATCATTAGTTCTGATAAACATTTTTTTAAGAATATACTCTAATGAGTATTGGAATAACAAAAATCCCTAAATAAAAAATTTTCAAATAGCTCACTTTCTCTGACACAACTTAAAAAAATAAGACATGCTCAAACTTCTTACACTTAATACCGTAAGTCTACGTGTAATATTCCCTATATATTAAATTTAATACCTGAAATTAAGTTATCACATTGATTACTATATATTGGATAAACACGTGACTCAATAAAAGAATAAAATTCAAGGAGAAAATAAAAAATGAGAAATAGGAGCTCAGGGTAGAAACCAGAAAGATAGCTATTTATGATTTATGTATAGTAAGTAATGGAAAACCAAGATAGGAAAATCAAGAGTGATGTCAAGAGAAGAAAGGCTAATAATTTTGAATGTTTTAGAGAAAATTCATCAAATAAAGAGGGAGAAAAGACCATGTGCAAAGGGTTAGTGGCTTCTGACATGATTAGGATACAGATTAGTTTTTTTTTTTTTTTCCTAAAGGAAGGTCACAGATAGCTACTTTAAGCAAGATTCATTCTTGGAAAAAAAAAATCTAATTTCTATAGGAGAGTAAAGAATTCATATGTGTGTGTGTGGGGGGGGAAGGAGGATTGGGTGGTGGGGCGGGGGGGGGGGGGGAGAGGATGGGAAGGGATGGGAAGGGGAAACAAAGGAGGAGGCTACAATGCTTGATAAGAAATGTACTCATTATCTTGCCCATGTAATTGTAACCCCTCTGTACAGTATTTTCACAATAAAAAAAGAGCAAAAAAAAATCATACGAAACAGCAGAATCCTTGACAATATCAGCAAATATAACATATGAAGAAAAAGAAGCTTGATTCTACAAGGAAGATTAAGGGCTAAGTGTTTTAGTAGGGGAGTTTGTGAGGGCTGGTGGTAGAAATATCCTCAAACTGTTCTGTAAATATGAGCTCTGTATCTATTATTACTTAGGGGGAAATTGGGAAAATAGTGAGCAAACAAAATTAAGATTTTTCTCTCTCAGTAGGGTTTCTCAGACCTTTTTTTTAAAAACTATGGTTCTATCAGAGAAATTTGGCAGATAGTATTTTCAAATATAATTTACTAGATTTAATAATTTTGGATGTGGTCTAATTATATTGCCCAAGCAGTTCTCAAACTCAATCTCTAGAGTGCTGGCCCTAGAGATATGCACCATCCTAGACTGGCTAAAACATATGTTGACCATAAAAAGACAATGAAAATGTCTTTGTGGGCACATTACATCAAGATATGATCAAAATATATAATCATGGTAGCACAGACTTTGAAAGGAAATAGACCCCCCCCCCCAAAAAAAAAAAAAGAAAGGAAATAGAACAGGGTAAGACTAATTTTCTTTTCTTTTCTTTTTGCCAGTCATGGTGCCTGAACTCTGGGCCTGGGCACTGTCCCTCAGCTCTTTAGCTCAAGGCTAGTGCTCTACCATTTGAGCCACAGCACCACTTCCAGCTTTTCTGCTTATGTGGTGCTGAGGAATCGAATCCAGGGCCTCAGAGGCATGAAAGGCAAGCGCTCTACCACTGAGCCATCTTCCCAGCCCCCCAATTTTCTTTTTTTAAGACAGGGTCATGCTATGTGTTTATGCCCAGGATGGCTCTGCAATACTCTTCCTGCTAGCTTCCTGGGTGCTGAGATTACAGGAGTGTACTACTACATGTGGCTATGAATTAGACATATAATCATTAAGACAAAAAGCATTTTTAGAGATAAAAGCATTGCAAATAGTAAATAGCTCAATTTAAGAAGCTATAACAATTTAAAAAGTATATACACTTAATAATAGCCTCAAAATATATAAGCCAAAAATGAACAAAAAGGAAGATTCACAATTGTGCTGAAATTGTAATAATTTTCTTTCAAGAGTTTGACAAGTCAAACAGGTAAGAAACTAATATTCAGAAGATTTACAGAAATACCTCAAAAGCTAGAGTTACTGAATACAAAAGCTAGAACTAGTGGATACACATAGGAACATGCACATAAAAATCTATTTGATCTAATGGACACTAGCTGCAACTGGATGTGTGCCACTGTGCTGGCTTGACAGTATTTTTACTGTAGTGAATTAGAAGCAGTATCAATATTCATGACAAGTGGCAGAATATTTGGGTAGACCTTGCAGAATGTTACAAGGTCAAAGAATCAATAGGAACAAATGGTATAATTAGGAATTCAATTTTTAAAGAAAAATAAAATGATACTCCTTTGTATAACAATTTTCACTCATTCAGCAAATACTTATTATCTACTATGTGTATCTAACGAAGTCAGAAAACTCTACCCTAAGAGGGAAAACAGGTAACAAGAACACATTTTAAAGGAATGAGATAATTTGTGGCTGAAGAGGATACATCTTTAAATGAAAGGGACAACTATATTCTCTTATGATGTCTCTGAAGACCTTTGTTGGAATCTGGTTACTGGTTGTATAGATCTCAAGTTGGATCAAGTGATCTTTTGCTTTAAATTTTAAAAACATGGATTTTTAGGGCTGGGAAGGTGGCTCAGTGGTAGAGCGCTTGCCTTGCATGCCTGAGGCCCTGGGTTCGATTCCTCAGCACCACATAAGCAAAAAGCAAAAAGCCGGAAGTGGCGCTGTGGCTCAAGTGGTAGAGTGCTAACTGAGGGACAGCGCCCAGGCCCAGAGTTCAGGCCCCACGACCGGACCCAA